TTTTAAAGGTAACTTATTGAAACTATATAGTAATAGTAGCTATACTATGCGTTGGGCATTTTAATTTGATTTGAGTCCTTGACATGCTTGTTTGTTGGGATGGCTAGATCACACCTGCATGACAACTGCATAACAACCGAAAACTGCCAATAAAGATTATGTGCAATATTACTATTGTTTGTTGTAGCTCCAAAGGATTTGTTTTAATGTATGAATAGAATGACGAAATGACAGATGTTTTGTTCTTCCTGTCGAGGAACTGAATATATGCGCCTCAATTCACCCATCAACACAACACTGATTGTTCTTGTATCGATCACTATGTCTCACTGGAGTTTGGTTCTACTACTCGCGGCAGTATTTGTTACTGTTGCTGTGGTAAGTATTTTAGATTGTATGGATATTTCAGTTGTAAATGTGTTGCTGCTTGTAATTTGTTAAATAAGATTCATGTCAGATTATTGTCGTATTTTACACTTCATCATTTCTCGTTCTATAGGCTTCGCCAACAACTGAACTCAACGAATCAAAGTCGACTGCAGTTGGAAAACGCTTCACAGGTTAGTTAATGGAAATAACTTTAAGTGCAAATCTATACACATTGTTCCTTATTATATCGGTTAATTTTGTCATTTTATGGGCAAAGTATTTGTGAAAATTTTTCGTACGTGGTGCGATAATTTAGACTCTTCGTTGAGTATCCAACCTGTCTTTTTAACGCTTTACGAGTATATTACTGTTGCATAAATACTGCCTAGAAATGTCTTGTGAATACTGTAAAAACGTCATATTATAAAACCTCTTGTACAATTGCTTTATTTATACTTGACAGGGCGATGCGAGGGCTTTTCATATCCGACTTTTTTAGTGTATGAATTTCGAAAATCACCGCCTCTACAACACTCTTGTAATTACTGCCCTCTCGACGGTAAATGGAAACTAGTTGTGAGTGTTCTGCAATGTTTTATACAACGATTCCATCATGACTTGATTGTAAATCATCTTTTCAGTTGGTTTGCAGTCGAGTGTATGCTCCAAAGCTTCACACTGGTTTCACCATTGGCACTTTTGTATTTTATTTTCAGGTTGGAGAGTTAATTGTCTAACTAAATGGCTTGAATGTTATCTAAGGATCAGAGTGAGAGTAATAATAATAATTGACTTTGAAGGTGTCGTACTTTCCCATCAAGAGTTCGACTTCCCGTATTACATTTACGCTGAACTAAATCCGGATCACATCCTGACATCCGGCACTG